TATGGAAAGTGCAGAAATCTCAAGAACATGCAATTTTAACCAACCAAACTTCCACCCAATCAATCTTAAAGACTAAATGCATGCTTCTACATTATCAAACCACATCATACATGTCTAAATATACTTGTATGCTTTATAACTTGAGTCACAACATCATACAAGGTTTTGACATCAAAAGCAAAATATTGCATAAAAGTGCATCTTTAACACAAGTCACCTAGTTCAATTTTACATTTTGGGTCATTTCATACTTCCTAAAAGCCTAACATGTTTAATACACTGAGTTACACTTGTCTAAACATACCAAACACTTTCTTAAGGCATAATTCAACATTTGACCAATTTGCGCATTCAAGACAATAAGAACATGCACTCAACAACAAAAATTCCACCATCCAACTTATTTAGCAATCATCTTCACAAGTCAAGTTCCAAAAACACCAAAATCTCCTTATTACAATATATGCAAATCAAAAGTTTAAGTCCCAATATGGATCCTACATTGTCTTCTTAAGGAAAACACATGTACACTTTATTTCTTAAAAATGCTTTGGTTGATCACACCGTCCCGCTCTTTGCCACTGACTTAACAACTAATTCTCTGAAAAAGTGTTAAACAACGAGTGAGATCTAAAGTCCAGTGAATAACCAATAATCTAATAAATGCACAATACAAGATAATTGGAAGCCCTACATGCAATCACTCCTCACTTGTTTTTATCTCAACATTCATATCATCATGACATGCAAACATGCACTATAATTATACATGAAATCCAATATATAAACATGTCATTACTCCTCATAATTCAACAGCAAACACATACACTCATACACCATTACCTCTTTAGCAAGTCACACACAAAACACACTTTGTTTTAATTAAAGATCAATGGCCTTTGTTCAAAACACAACTCATTCTTTGGATAAACGGACTACATACGACTCTCATTTTATTTGTGGACTCACGTAGGTCCAAAACCCACGACTTTGAGAGCAAGCTCAATGAATCAACCTTACCCCGTAATCTTCTCGGAGCAAAGCTCAACGTACCAACCTTACCTCGTATAAACCCGATATCATTTACACTTGAACAGAACACTTAGATTACTCCTTCCTAGGTATGCCTTTCATATCCAAATGTCCCATTAAGAACATAAGCCAATTAATCCAAGTTCATCAAGAGTGGTTGCAAATGATGCATAGTTTTCACATATATACTTTCAAACACATTTTGATTGGAACTGCAACTAAAATGCTCATGGCTGCTGGTGCTGATTGGAGCTTGCAAAATGAACAAAGATGGAGAGCACTTCAAGAAGCAATTTGTAATAGGGAAGAGGCAATTGCGATGACCATTGTTCGACACTACCAGCCATTGGCATGGGCAAAATGGTGTAGAAGATTGCCTCGTTTGGTGGGAACTATGCGAAGGATGAGAGATTTTTACTTGGAAATCACATTCAATTTCGAGAGTTCAGTGATTCCTTTCATTTCACGAATTGCACCTTCCGATACATATAAAATTTGGAAGAGGGGTGCGAATTTGAGGGCTGATATGACTTTGGGCGGATTTGATGGATTTAGAATTCAGCATTCTGATCAGAGTATTCTTTTCCTTGGCGACGGTTCTGAGGATGGTAAGGTTCCTCCTGGATCGCTTTGTATGATCTCTCATAAGGATAAAGAGGTGATGGACGCTTTGGATGGTGCTGGTTCTCAAGCAACTGATGAAGAGGTTCGACAAGAAGTGGTTGCAATGTCTCAGACCAGTATTCAGGCCTGGGATAGATGTAACACAGGCAGTTCTTTTGCCACAGCTGACTTGAGGCGACAAGAGAAAACCGATATGGTGGGTGCCTGGAGCCATGACAGATGAAGAATTCCTTGCAACTACCAATGCAATTGAAGCAGAGAGTGAAGAGCTCGATGAGATATTAACAGAAGCTGAAAGGAAACAACTTGAAGTTGCTCTTAAATTGGATTCTTCAGAAATATCCAATGAGAATGATGATGCCGTTATTGGGCATCGCCATAGTTGTTATGCTTCCAGGGAAATTCCTATAAAGGAAACCAATGGTTTCAAAAATGGAGAGACTAAGCAGGAAAAGAAAGGATGGTTTGGTGGATGGAGGAAAAGGGAGCCAAAGCATGAAGTGCAGAAGAAGATTGCGCCACCTAGAAGTTCATTCTGTGTAGATGAAAAGGTGAGTGACTTACTAGGTGACACTCCTTCTGGGAGTCGGATAAAACCTGGTAGACATTCTGTGGAGATTTTGGCAACGGATGATCAGAAGAGGATAAGAGATTCGAGAATATCTTCTTCCACGAGTTCTGAGACTGGTAGTCGGCGCAAGGATAGTAGCCGAGAGAGCGAGTATAAGAAAGGATTGAGACCTATTCTTTGGCTTTCTCCGAGCTTCCCACTGCAAACCGAAGAACTCTTGCCATTGCTAGACATTCTTGCCAACAAGGTCAAGGCAATTCGTCGGTTGAGAGAACTGCTCACTACAAAGCTTCCTGCTAGAACCTTCCCAGTCAAGGTTTGTCGTTTTTTGACTGATTGGGTCCTGTTATATGAACACTTCAATAACAGTTTTCTTACTTGTGACTGATTGTTATGGGGCAAATGATACATAATATGGGTTTGTCAAATCTTAGAGTCACCAGCTGCACAAGTGTTGATGATTTGTGGTCCATTACATTAGAGCTTTTAGCATGTTATCAGGATAAGCGGATACTTTTTGAAATTAAGATTTTAGGACCGGAAGCTACATTGGACTTATTCTTGACTTATGTAGTCTTTTAAGACTAGGATTTTCGTATCTTTTTCCCTGGTATATGCTCCAGTCCTTTCCTTCCATTTATGGATGCATAGACTTGCTAGATGAATGGAGGTATACTTTCATTCTTACACATTAATGGTGCCGGCATGCACAACACATTACTTGGTTTCGGGACTTTCTTCAAAATTTAAAAAGAAAAAAAAAGGCGGTGGTTAAGTAAACTAGTTGCTGCTGCGGCCGTCGCCGCCGCTTTTCTATCCATATGCCTGAAAAGATTTTGACACGAATGAGTTCTCATGGTTGTACTTAGGTTGCTATCCCCGTCATTCCAACGATCAGAGTATTGGTCACTTTCACAAAGTTTGAAGAACTACAGCCCGTGGACAAGTTCTCGATGCCCCCTTCAAGCCCCTATGAAGAAAGCCCTGCAGTGACACAGTTCTCAGGTTCATCTTGGTTTCAGTGGATTAAGACACCATATCAACGCCATAGCTCGTCCATTAATAGCGGCAACAAGCCAGAAAATCTTAAAGAACCATTCGCAATACCCCCGGATTATACTTGGATTACAGCTGAAGCAAAGAAAAAGAGTATGCAAGATAAGAGCAAATCAAAGAAAGGTAAGAGTCAGACTCATTGAAGTCGGGCTATGATCCGGAACGAAAAACAATTTACGGCTTTCCAAAGGAACTCCGGCTGGCAGGTACCGAACGGGATATAGCGTTTCATTTCTCCTTAGAAATTCCCTTGGTGGAAAATAGGTGGGAAAAAAAGCCATTTGGTGGGATGTTACCATCTTTGGATTACTGATTTACGTCATTTACTTGTGAACCAACTTTTGGCTACATACAATTACTGACAGAGTTATTGAACGATGTAACACGGATTCGGTAGAGTTATTAGCCGTAATAGTTATGCACAATCGACGGCCGAGAGAGACCGTTGAAGTTCATATTGTGTAATGTGTCCATTCTTCTGTGTTTGCACCATTGCAAAGCAAATTTTGATGGAGCTATATAGTACACAAAAGAAACTATGAAAATCGTGGGAAATCTACAATGAAGCAGGAATCTAGCTGTCATATTATTTCACAATGATAAGAGCATATGCATGTTTTATATAGTGAACTTGTTACTTGAATCAATCTTAACCAAATCGGGAGGATTCTGAGAATCACGAACCGGATGACCAGCTGTACCGTGTTAATACAAAGAGTTCCATTTGTCCTAAGCTCGACCATGGTGGATTTTCAGAAATATTTCGAACCGAGGTTGGTATCATCACGGTAAACCCAAGTTGGAGCATGGACAGGTGATCAAGTTGAAACTTGCAGCTCCCTTCAGACGTAACATCGAAACGGCGGTTGCCGCTCTGTTCCACAAGATCATGGCGGAGATACAAGATCTCAGGAAGTGTTATAGCCCCCAGGACATAAAAAAATCTCTTCTTCCTCATCCAAAACGTGATAAGTATATTCTATACCTCATAAGACATAAGAGAACATTACACCTCTAATTAAATTTGTTAAAGGTTAATAGAATTTAATAATGAAAGAGGTATAGTTGTGATAATGTTAACTATGAGAAGAAATATCATCGGGGTTGGTTCAAGTGGTAAGCAATTTGATATCGTTTAAGTCTCGAGTTTGAGTCCTTATGTATACAGAAAATTCCGGCCGGGAGACTCACTCACCAAAACCAAGACGCGTCTTTAGAAGGATATCAATCCGAGAATTATTCTAAAATGAGTATTAATTCAAATATATAGACAGAATTGGAGACTATATTATCATACATAACGCCTGACTTGGCCATAAATACCTCAAATTATGATATGGTTTCCTTTGTCTAAGTGTGTATGGTGAAACCGCTTCTTACTCCCTTACTTTAAGCTTGACTTCTTATTAATTTTCTATATACGCCCAACCTTTGCCTATATATACACTTATTTCTTTTGGTCTATAAGCAGCAAAAGTAAATAAATAAAAAAGGAAATGAAAATTCCAGAAGATTGAACTGATTATTCACAATTTCTTGTTTGTCAGTATAGTTCAATTATTGTGGGTTAATTGTTAGGCGACATGGGTTTCTCTAATTATTTCGGTGTGATCGTTGTCTTGTATGTTCTTTTTATGAATGGTCTTGCCATTGTTGATGACATAATGTTAATGAAAACGAAAAAGATTTGCTTGACGGTTCGTTTCAGCCCCAACAAATGTTAGAGTATAAAGGAAATAGGAGGTCTTTAACACTTATTCTACCTGCAATGTTTGGTGCTGGTGCGGTTGGTGCTGGTGCTCTGGCTGCCGGTGCTGTTGGTGCCGCTGCTTTAAAAGGAGCTGCGGCACTGAAAGAAAAACATGATAAAGAAAGTCAAGGTGGCGACACTGCTAATACTGGTGGTGGAGGCGGTGTTTCGTTTGGAGGTAAAGTAGGAGGGACTGGTGGTGGAAGTGGTAATACTAATGTTGCTGGTGGCGGTGGTGGTGTAGGTGCTACTGTTGCTTGTGGAGGTGGCTCAAGTGGTTGCAGAAACACGGGTGCTAAGGGGCTTGGCGTTAAATTTGAAGCACATAGTGGTGGAAGTGGTGAAGGCGAGGGAAAAGGGAAAGGTGGTGGTGGAGACGCTAGTGGTTCTGCTAAAGGTGGTTTTGGAGGGAAAATTGAGGGAAAATGGATAGGTGGAGATGGTAAAGTTTTTACTTGGGGAGATGGGCTAAAAGCAAGACAAGGTGAGATTGATAAAAAAGGTGGTGAAAGTATTTCTGTTGAGGGAAAAGGGGATGGTGGTGTAAGTGGTGGTGGAGACACTGGTGGTTCTGCTAAGGCTAGTTCTGGAGGTAAAGTTGAAGGAGGTGGTGATGGCGAAGGAAAAGGGCAAGCTGGAAGTAGTGCAAGTGGTAGTGGAGAGGCTGGTGGCTCTGCTAAAGGTGGCGCTACTGTTTCTAGTGAGGGAAATTGATAGGTGGAGGTGGTGCAAGTGGTGGTGGAGACTCTGATGGTTCTATTACACGTAGCTTTGGAGTTAAATTTGGAGGACAAGGACCGATACATGGAAGTGCCGGTGGAAGTGTTTCTATTGGAAGTGGTGGAGATGGTGAAAGTGGTGACGTAGACACTGGTGGTTCTACTAAGGGTGGTATTGAAGGTATATTTGAAGGAGGTGAAGCAATTAAAGGAAGTGGTGATGGCAAGGGAAAAGGGAAAGGTGGGGGTCGTTTAAGTGGTGGTGGAGATGTTGGTGGCTCTATTAAGGCTAGTTATGGTGGTAAAGTTGAAGGAGGTGGTGATGGGGAGGGAAAAGGAAAAGGAAAAGGTGAGGGTAGTGCAAGTGGTGGTGGAGACTCTAGTGGCTCTATTAAGGCTAGTTTTGAAGGTGAAGTTGAAGGAGGTGGTGATGGGGAGGGAAAAGGAAGAGTTGATGGTAGTGCAAGTGGAGGTGAAGACACTAGTGGCTCTATTAAGGCTAGTTCTGGAGGTAAAGTTGAAGGAGGTGGTGATAGGGAGGGAAAAGGGAAAGTTGAGGGTAGCACAAATGGTGGTAAAGGCACTGGTGACTCTATTAAGGCTAGTTCTGGAGGTAAAATTGAAGGAGGTGGTGATGGCGAGGGAAAAGGGAAAGTTGGGGGTAGTGCAAGTGGTGGTGGAGATGTTGGTAGCTCTATTAAGGTTAGTTCTAAGGGTAAAGTTGAAGGAAGTGGTGATGGAGAGGGAAAAGGGCAAGGTGGAGAGGTCGGTGGCTCAGCTAAAGGTGGTTTTGGAGGTAAATTTGAAGGAAAGATAGGTGGAAGTGGTGGTGTTCATTTCTTTACTTGGGGAGATGGGTCAAAAGAAGGGCAAGGTGGAATTGGTGGTGGAAGTGTTTCTGTTGAGGGAAAAGGGGCTGGTGGAGCAAGTGGTGGTGGAGACACTGGTGGTTCTACTAAGGCTAGTTATGGAGGTAAAGTCGAAGGAGGTGGAGCAGTTAAAGGAAGTGGCGATGGTGAGGGAAAAGGGCAAGGTGAAGGTAGTGCAAGTGGTGGTGGAGAGAGTGGTGGCTCTTCTAAAGGTGGTTTTGGAGCTAAATTTGAAGGAAAGATTGGTGGAAGTGGTGGTGGAGGTGGTCAAGTTGTTACTTGGGGAGATGGATCAAAAGTAAGACAAGATGAGATTGGTGGAACTGGTAGTGGAAGTGTTTCTGTTGAGGGAAAAGGGCAGGGTGTAGGTGGTGCAAGTGGTGGTGGAAGTTTTTCTGTTGAGGGGAAAGGGCAGGGTGTAGGTGGTGCAAGTGGTGGTGGAGACTCTGGTGGTACTAATACACGTAGCTTTGGAGTTAAATTTGGAGGACAAGGACCGATACAAGGAAGTGCTGGTGGAAGTGTTTCTATTGGGCATGGTGGAGATGGTGTAAGTGATGCTACTAGTGAGACAAAAGTAGGCACGACGGGCCAAAGTGGAGGTGGTGCGAGTGGCGGCGGCAGCGGTAGTGGAGGCGGCAACGTTGGTGGACATATCCACTTTGGTTTAGGAGGAAAATTGACGGAAGAGGAGGAGGATTCGGGGGAGGCAACTGATGCACACATAAACATAACTCAAGTACTGCATTCTAGTTACATATCCGTAGGAATAACAAGTGTTGGCTTCCATCGCATAAGCCATGCGTGAGAATATTGGAAGTTGTTTTTTATGTATCTTCCCAATATCATCATCAATAATTTAACTTCTAATGTTCATTTGGTCCTAGCTTTAATTGTATTACTTGTTTATAAGAAAGGTTATGTCCAATTAACTTATTTTTTCCCAAGGCATATCAATATTAGTCATCAAATGAATTGGCAAAAAAAGAAGACACCTAAGGTTCACCACCATGCCAAAAACGTTGTCTTTAAATATCAGAGTTTGCAAAAATAATCAGCAAGCGAGTTAAAAGTTCTCTTAATATGTTCGAATCGAGTCATCTATCACTGTTCCACCAATTTATCAATGTCGATTTGAGATTCGACAGATTCCAAGATAGATTATTGAGGCATCAATATTTACGCTAAAACGATGACGTTTTGTGTCGGGCCCATGAGGATATAGAGATTTTGGGGTTAGTAGGACCTGCATCTACACTTTTGGAGACTAAATTGCAAACTTCAAAATCTTAAGGGAATAAGAGTTGAACCGTCCAAAGCTGGTAAAAGGGGAAAATCTCGGTGGCTCCTTGTGAATCTGCAGAGCAAGTTGAACTGTGGAATGTTGTGGCAAGTTTAAAATCTACAGGTCAGGCGAACTGGATAATTGGAGGCGATTTTAATGCCTAGCAACCTTGTTGATCTTCCAATGGTTGGTAAAAAATTCACTTGGTATAGTCCACAAGGGAGGAGAAGCAGACTGGACAGATTCTTATTAGATACTAAATGGGCACTGGAGCTCAGAGATATTGTATCAATCGGGCTACCTAGATCAGTCAAGGACCATATGTCGGTTCTATTGTTGTTTGAGAATTCGGACTACGGTCCTAGGCCGTTCGAGTTCTTCATTGCTTGGTTATTCAAGAAAGGGTGTAGGGACGGGGGTAAAAGTCTTAACAAGTCTGATTTTTCTTTGAAACCTAGAAGTTTGAAGAATGAGCTAAAGCGTTGGATTTTTAGTAGCTGCAAAGATATAGACAACAAGGTGAATCGGATTGTGCTTGAATTAAATAAGGTGGAATCGGATTGTCAATTTGATCAATCTTCCTTTAACGAGACCGTGGAACCGGTGGGGGTATTTCGATGAGGAGGTCATACTGGTAAGAACAATTGGTCAAGTGAAGTTTCTTTATGTTCAAAGAGCTGGTAATGGGATGGCAGCCTTTCTAGCAAATCAAGTTATGTCAAGGACTCAATTGTTTAAAGCATGGTGGTAATCTTTTTATGGTCGACGATGTCAGTATTAGTCATAGCTGAAGGGGTTGTTTCTTGCTGGGTGATTTTCTGACGTGAGAAGCAGAGTTATTTGTTTTCTGTTTAGATTGGTTGTGCTCTGCATTCTTTGGTTGTAAGCAGTGTAGTATAGTGGTTGTATTATGGTTTCGGAGATAGTGATCGTTTGTTTTTTTCCTCGGTTAACGGTACTCTTTTCCTCCATTTAGGCGTAACGAGACCATAACCGGGGCGTTAAAAACTACTAAGTTTTTAGCATATAATTTGCTGATATTAACAAGCATAAACCCCTATCTTAATTTAGGGTTGATGGAAAAACTTATTAGGGGTGTTCAAATCCGGGTACCCGGGTTTTTGGGTACCCGAAGTTTCTGGTATCTGGGTCTTCGGATAGTAGATTGGTCGGCCAGTGTCCTGATCCGGTTGTTGCTGGTACCCGGATTTTGTGGATACCCGTAATTGGGTACCCATTTTTTATCATTTGTCTTCCTCTGCAGCTTCTCCATCACTTGTTTTCCTCTGTGGTCGATAAGAAGATTGCACCTAACAACATAGTTTTCGCCATCGGCTGAAACGACGATACCGGTGAACCAAGACTCACACGGATCATCATCATCATCTTCTCTTCTTAAAACCTCCACCGAATTCCCTCTTCTGAAATTCATGATTTTTAAACTCTAAAAAAATGCATCAACCCTGGGTAACAAGAGTAAACAAAATCAATACTGCTTGATTCTCCCATAACATTTGAAGGTGGCAAACACAAGGATCAATGGATGCTAGCTAGCAGACCTATAAACTGGATAACAGATACATGAACTAACCATGAAAACCAGTGTTAAACACAAGGATCAATGGATGCTAGCTAGCAGATCTATAAACTGGATAACAGATACATGAACTAACCCATGAAAACCAGTGTTTGTTTACGTAGTTTGGTCAATCAGCAAATAAGGAAGAGAATAAACAAAAGGCTTCAAAACCAAATACCCCGGTAACCGAGTACCCGAAAAAAATTAAATTTTGTGACCCGGGCCCAACTCGAAAAATATCTGGTCGGTATCGGATATTTTTCTTTTAAAAAATTATCCGATTTTTTTAATTCGAGTCGACGGGTAAACGGGTTGGGTATTTTTTGAACACTCCTAAAACTTACAAAGCTTAGAAACTAAAATTAATGGTAAATGGTAGCTTAACTGTTTTTTATTAATTTAATTTTAATCTCTCAAGTGCTTAAGAAAAAGTTCAAGAATTTTAACTCTCACTCTATAACTCAATTAGGAACTTTAAGAAAGAGAAAAAAGATGATAAATTGGTACAAATGTGAAATGTCTGTTTAGATCAAGATAATTGTAGTTCAAAATTCCAACAAAAATTAAGATAAACTATGCATTTAATATTTAAATTATCAGTTTTGATTTATTTTAGTACCTAAACTTTCATTTTTTTTAAATTACACATAACGTTTAGTTTTCATTTCATTTTAGTACCCCGCCATTAAAAATTTAATGCGTTCAATATCTAAACTATCGGTTTTGGTCCGTTTTAATACCTAAACTTTTAAATTTTTTCAAAACTTAACGCTAAATTTTGAACATGATACTGAAATAAAATAAAAACTAAAGTTTTTAACGGTGAGTATTAAAATAAAACAAAAACTAAAGTTTTTAATGCAGACACTAAAATAAAACAAAGGCTATTTAGGTATCATTTTAAAAAATTGAAAATTTAGGTATTAAAAAAGATCAAATCTGATAGTTTATGTATTAAACACATAGTTTACCCAAAAAAATAAAATATTTGAAGTAAATTAATTAAAAAAAGGAAAATCAGGAGGAGAAATTTGAAGAATGATAAATCGATGGGCCTAATAGTGTATTTAAACAATGTCAATCTAATTAAAACTTCGAAAAAAAGATCGAATTGTTTTCTTTCAAGGTAATTTCAATCTTGTTTACCTCTTCTACTAGATTCAAAGCTCCCTATAAAAGAACATCAATTTTCCTTTTTAATTTTTGCAGAAGCAAACATCGTTACTTTCTTCCTCAGTCGCCGCTCCCTCGTTGGGGTTAGTATCAATATCGCCGACGATTCACTTTCACCGACAAAAATACCCAGAGTAAAATATCCAATTTAGCCCCCTTTTGCCTTTCTTCTATTATTGAAGAATCCCAACAAAAGTTTGGGTTTTATATTTTGGGGGCAAGAATAGTAATGGCGGCGGTAGCGGCAACGATGGTCAGCTCGGCTGGAGGCTTACTGGCGATGCTTAAC